ATGTTTGGTCAGAGTACAACCAATCAGACAGACATAAAGCAATCTGGATATTGGATCTCAGAATGAAAATGACCAGAGAGAGTTCCAATCTCTCATTGGCAGCACCCTCACATCTCAAGGTAATGCCCAAAATTAGTTTGCTTTGCTTTTGCAATACTGGAAAATTGTCCAAAAGCTGAACCAGGGGGATATTAAAGACGACTCGGCACCTTTAACCACTCTCATATGTTTACGGTTGGTTTGTTGAGCTGATAATCTTACTTGAACTCATTTGTTCTGGCAGATATGGAATGGGATGCAACAAATCACATCTTGGTGCTTGTATTGGATCAAAACGTCAGAATCTCCAGTCTGTTGATTCTGAGAGCAGTTTAAATTCTGAATACAAAGTTTTATCTTCACTGGCAAAGATCCAGGGTCAGCTGGGAGAATTTCACATTTTCTTGAACCAGCATAAAACTCAGTGCTCCTTGACCCATTATTCTCCTCTCCGCTGATGTTACCTTTGTTATCTCCATCACCTTCTCATCTTTCTCTTCTAATCTCTTGTGCATGTTTAATCAAAGATGATATTCCAACAAAATAAACCCCAAGCTTTCCACAAAATGCGAAATCAACTTATTTTTTTTATAACTACAAATCAGCCCCCCTTTAACCCGAGTCAAGACCAAGACAATAATATAAGAGACCTAAATTCAAAAAAAAGTATACCCAACAAAGAGATTTACTCTATCTCCCAAAGTATCACACACACAAAATTGAACAATCTCTTCATGTTATTTCCGATTCTTTTAAGCCTATGCATTAGCTTAAGCAATGGTGCCCCCTTGATAGGAGCAGTCAAAGTCACTGTAAGCAACCAGTTGCAACACAACAAGCTTCTTAACGGTTCATTGTCGTTCTGAAGACGACGATCTTGGACAGAAAATCCTGAAAATCGGCGAAAACTACAAGTTTACTTTCGGTGATAACATTTGGCAAACGATTAAGTCTCGTGTCAAATGAATCAAGGTCCAAATTTTAAGCATCGCCAAGAGTTTGTGGCTTATGAGACTTCGTGGAGCAAAGAACTTGAGGCTAAGTTTTTGTGGATTGCTAAAGATGGACAACCTCCAGCTATAAATATCTTTGGGATGCTCCTCCTCAGTTCAGCTATCAATCCGATCAAATTTAGATATCAATTATATGATTAGTATCTAAATTAAATTTGGTTTTTGAAAGCAAAATCATCTAGATGAGGCCAAAGTACAAATGCTTGAATCGATGGCCAGCAAGGGATGCTTTCCGATCCTAACGTAGTGACGACGTTTACTACTCTCATTAAGGTCTACTGTAAGGCAACAAGGGTTGATGATGGATTGGAGCTTTTCTATAAGATGAATATATCGAAGAGGAATAGTTGCTAATACAGTAATTAACCTCAAAGGTGTCGACGTTCCTAGACAGAAATCCAAACAAACCAAGAACAGAGAGTAATCATGACTCTGAGAAAGAGAGATGAAGTGACAAAACAGAGGTAAAACAATGTGTCTAAGTCAAATTTAAGATACAGATTCAAGATTAACGGTCTGATTAGTTTGCTATGTTTGCTCTGCAGGACCATCAATTGGAGGATGAATGAAAGATTGCGAGATCATTCACATTTCTATCTTTAGCAGCACAACTCCAATCCCTACTTTCGTTTTGCTGGATCTATTTCAATTCTGCAGGTGTCCCACAAATGTGTTATACGCTTGTTAATTTCTATTTTCGTCTTGTTGATTAATGAAAATAATGGTGAAATGGGATGCCAATTGGACAAAAACTTTGTTGGATATGCTTTTCTAATCATTTTTTTGTGCGCATAATGATACTCTTTAGCCTTACGGTCTCATATTCAAACATGTTTCTTCTTATCAGTGTGGCTTCTGCTGAAAATGGTACGTTTGACTCCTCATTTCTATCAATGTCTCTTTTCTTACAATCTCTTTGCAAACATATAGATTGGAGTGATAGTTGCATATTAGGACTGATACATTAAGAACAACTAATGTACATATATCTGTTTCTTTTCATCAGAATGGTAAACCCACGGAACAAAACTAAAACAATGTTCTTGGTATGTGTTTATGTTGTGAATCTGTCTTCAAAACTACACTTTTGTGTTTCACATTTTGGTCTCTTGAGTTCTTCTTCCCATGAAACTCTGTTGGATTCAGAATAACCTAATCTCTTCTGGTTCTTTGATCAGGTTTGGTAACGGAATATGTTTCCTACTTCAGGTTACTATATGTCAAAAGAAGCTTTTTCACCATCACAGTCTTTGATATGTGCCACATGAACAAGGGAAGTAAACTTGGTCTCTTTTAAGTTTTAACCACATTTACAACATTATTATATATCCAAATATTCGATTTATAGTTATAAGTTACAACTAAAGGGTTTATAAAGCTGATAGTAATGGATTTTTTCTGATAAGTTCGAATCTTAAAGTAGATTTATATAATCTGACTTTTATTATTCTATATTGTCTTTGGTATGGCTTTTACTTTGGAAGAAATCTCACGTAAACTTGTTGTTCCTTTTTCATCCAGCTTTGATGCACGTGAAATCTGGTGTCATGTTATTATCTCCACGAATAAATATAATTTATCTGCGATGTAAAATTTTAATTAGAGGATAACAGCTAATTTTCTCACTTTAAAATCCTCATTTCATAATTAGTCTTGTAAAATTGTCTTTTTTAGATTTGTTAGGAAAATACTAAATCTATGAGTGCAAAGTTGGTTGGTTACACGTGTCAAAAGCATGAGTTCGGAAGTGGGGTTGATGACCTAACTCATTGAACTTCCGACAGGTCCTAATCAGGGGCGGACCCACGTTGGTCTTGGGTGTGGCACGTGCCCCATACTCAATCTTAAATATCTTATATAAGCTAGCAACATTGTAACTGAAAATGCAGTTAGTCTAGTGGTTTTCACCATTATGTGCCCCATATCAACCCACGTTCAAACCCTTCTATTGTTCTTTTATTGATTTTTTTTAGTTTATATCAATATAATTGCAACTAATGTAATAATTTTTTAATAACTATAATATAATTTAGCTAATCAAATTATATTTAGTATTTATATATATGGTGCCCCATATAGAATTATTTTCTGGATCCGCCACTGGTCCTAATAATCCAAGTTATGATTTCATAAAAAAATTATATTTTCTTAAACGGACAATAATGTGTTTTTAACTTTTAACGACGTGACTCTTTTGTTTTCATTTCAGAAAACGACTTTAATCTTATTCCCAAAGTTCAGTTTCATTTTCCTAATATAACTACGAACTAAATAATTTGTGTTTGTTTATAAAAAGATTGTTATTTAGTAAAAGTAGACTTCTAGTATGAACTTTCTTTCGAAGGTCTAGATTTCCTTAGAAAAATTAACAATTTATTAATATCGAAAACAAATATGACATATTGGTGTATATTTAGGATAAATTGGTGTCTTATGTTGGAACTAGATGATGATGCCGACCAAAAAAAAGGAAATAGGTGTTGATAGTAAAATTTAAATTGAAGGCCTAAATTGTTTTCAGCTAACTATTAATTTAGTAAGAGATAATTTTGTATTTTTATCGATATGATTAAAATATTAAACCAGATAATTATTAGCTATGTAGATATTTTCTTATAAAAATACTTTCCCAAAAGTAGGTGAAATGCTTATCAATCTCAATCAAGGAAAAAAAAAAATATGACAAATGTATCCTTAAACTTGGCCATAAACCTCATCATTCTCTACTTTCTTTTTATCTTTTTACATTTTTAACTCTTTAAATTTAATTCTTCTAACTCCCAACTATCTCCTTGCCAAAATTCCTCCATAAAATTCTAGTTTTTTTTTTTGGAATGTTAAAAATATAAGTTTGTCTTTATTAGATTTTAGTGATTTTAATCGGTGACAGCTAAACATTATTGCACAATTAACTCACATTAACTCTCTGCCTGTCTTCCTTTTTTGTGTAAATGCTTCAATAATAATTTTCCCCTTTTTGGAACCAAGAATCAGTCAATTGCATTAAATCTTTTAAAACAAAGTAAGCTACCACAGTTTGTATTATTTAAAGATGAAACCAAAAACTACTGTAGTTATTGGCTACATAAATATTTCACCAAATTTGAAAAAGTCGCTTTATTATTGGGTATGGGATAGAGAAAAGTAAATAAGACCCAAAATATAAAAGTCAAGCCACCGTGCAAAACAAGTTGAAATTGCGTTGTGACATTTTATTTATTTATTCATAATCTATAAATTTTTAATTACTTTGTTACTTAGTTTAGCCCCACACTTAATGTGCACACGAGAAACCTAAAACTAAAAGAGATAGATTCGATTCTCCCACACGTGCGCTTCTGTGTCACCTTTCTCATTGGAGTATCGTCATTTTCTTTTATTTTTACTTAAAATATCTTCAAACTTTTTTCTTATAATATCTTCTTTTCGTATTAAGAATAGCTTAATTTACTTCACTAATCTCTTAAAAATGAAGTAATTTGACAAAAAAAATTAGTAAATTTTTCTTAAAAATTAAATTAGAGAAAGAAAAAAAAATTTAGTCAAATTTTTCGCAAGTGCAATAGACACAATTACCCCTAAAGATCGTATAAATTTACAAAGAACTTTGTCTTTGCCGTGTTTTGACCTCAAACCTTGACACACACGAACACACATATATATATACATGTATATATGTATTTTCTGGAAGAGAAACAATAATATTCCCAGAAATTTCGGGTTACGTGTCGCTTTATTTGTTAATGGATTTTTCAGATTTTGATTGTTAAAGAAGTTTTTGTGTCTATTATTGATTTTTACTTGAGAAAAACTCGAATGCTCTGTTTTTTTTTTCTCGAGAAAATTATCAGACTCAGAGAAAATTATAAACAGAGAAGAAAGATGAGAAGCAGTGCTAGTGGAAACAACGTTTTCGATACTATAAACGCAGCTGCTTCTGCTATTGCTTCCTCTGATGATCGTCTTCATCAATCTTCTCCGATTCCGGTGAGTCTTTCTCCGTTTCAATTAGCTAAATCAGAAACTCTATGTATGATTGTTCTCTTAAGCATTAGATCGAACACTTTGTAGGCAAATTCGATTTCTATGGAACTAAACAGTGTTTTCTTCTCCGATCATTCAAATCGAATCTGATTTCGATACTTTTTTACAATTTTTTTGAAATCAGAAGAAGAGAAAATGGTGGAATCGATGGAGTCTGTTGAAATGTTTCAGATCTTCAAGACAAAGGAAACGAATAGGAAACTCGGTTCTTGTTCCTGAACCGGTATCAATATCTTCAAATTCAACATCAAATTCCGGTTATCGTTCGGTTATCACAACACTTCCTTTTATAGCTCCACCTTCATCTCCAGCTTCATTTTTCCAATCAGAACCTCCTTCTGCTACACAATCACCTGTAGGAATCCTCTCTTTTAGTCCTTTACCTTGTAATAACCGTCCTTCGATCTTCGCCATTGGACCTTACGCTCATGAAACTCAATTAGTATCGCCTCCGGTTTTCTCTACTTACACTACTGAACCATCTTCAGCTCCAATCACACCTCCTCTTGATGAATCATCTATCTACTTAACTACCACAACACCTTCTTCACCGGAAGTTCCTTTCGCGCAGCTCTTTAACTCGAACCATCAAACCGGTAGCTATGGTCATAAGTTCCCAATGTCGTCTAGTTATGAGTTTCAGTTTTACCAACTTCCTCCTGGTAGTCCACTTGGTCAGCTTATTTCCCCGAGCTCGGTTGTATCCGGTTCTGGTCCAACTTCTCCTTTTCCCGATGGAGAAACCGCGCTGTTCCCTCACTTTCAAGTCTCTGATCCTCCAAAGCTGTTGAGCCCTGGTAAATTGCATTGTCCAAAGACTGGTGGTGTGACAACTCCTTCTAAAGAGCAGAAGATTGTGAGACCGCATAAACCGGTTTCATTCGATCTTGATGCGGATCATGTCATTAGATGCGTGGATCAGAAGCTAAGAACAACGTTCCCTGAAGCATCATCAAATCCAGAATCAATGAATCATTCGTCTCTCGGGCCGAATAAGGAATTCAATTTCGGCACGGATGAGAAACATTTGACCGTTGATGAACATAGAGCTTCGCCGAAGAATAGCAATGATTGGTCTTTCTTCCCTGTGATGCAGTCAGGTACACTTAGCTAACCTTCACCAGAAGATTTAGTTATATAGAAATCTGAAATTTAGAAATCGATTCGGATAAAGATCTTGTTCAAGATTCAAGAACGAAAATTAGCTAAGATTGATCTTATTATATAGTTTTCTTTTAATTTACACAAAGATGATGTTCTCTATATAGAATTTTTAGATGATTCTGTTCAGGATCTTAGGGATATTATTTTGTCTCTCTTTTGGTTTTGTAATAAATATTTGTCACCGTTGGTTGTTGTATATGACTTCTCTATGTAGTTTTTGTTTTTGTGCATACACATTTGATCGCATTTGTAAATAAAATTTAATCAGTTTCTTCAGAGAAATTTCATTAAATCTATAGGTATTGTTTAGCTTTGAAGTCTTAAGATATTTGATCTTCTGTGTATTGTTGTAACTAGAGTTTTGTTATTGTTATAGCCAATAAAGAGAGAGATCTATAGCAGAAAGGTAGTGAAAGTTTCTCCTTATTTGCTATCTTAGATTCAACCATGATATGCAATATGCAAATGAAAAAAGAAAATAGTAAGCTGGTATGAATACTAGTAGACATTAATCACAGACTTTTGAGTATCCAATTAAGAAGACAAACTCAAGACAATTAAAAACACATTTTATCACCAAATCGATAAACCGGTCAGGTTTTATAAGAAACATCACATCACAAACACTAGTCCACTACAATTGAAGCTATGTATACAGAAATTTTTACACATGACAAGTTAGAATGGGCCAGCTTAAATCACTTAGTCCTCCTCTCTCAGCATTCCGCAAGCCCACTTGGGATCCATCTTCAAGTTCATAGGCCCTTTTGGTTCAATTAATCTCACTTAAACCAGTAAGCAATTAGAGAGTTAATAAACCAGAGTCAACCCCTAAACCAAAGACAAACCCTAAACCTAACTAAATCTTGTAGGTTTAACTTTAATTAAAGTTCCCTTATATCTTTTCTTTTTTTACAGCAATTTTCCTTATTTCTTTTATATAGTAGATTTAGAAAAGCTTTATAAATATACCGGTTTATGGGTGCAGGATCATCATATACAAGTTTGTGAGAAACTAGAGTCGTCTTTTGCTCCAAGTAACAAAGGCTAAGAAAAGAAAAGTGTTTTTTTTTTAAAGAGATATGGAGGATCATAAGCCGTCGAGTTTCACGTTTGAGATAGATAACTTCTCCGAGAAGGAATCTGTGATTAGAACAACAAACTTCTTAAGCGGCGGCTGCGAATGGTAAAGGAAAAGATTATCATGTGTGTTGTGATTCGTAACTCATCGTTTAGATTCAACATATAACTGAAAAAGCAGATGAACCTGGATCGAAAAATAACAAACTCTTTTGATTGGTGTTATTCAACCTTAAGACTAGCGTTAGTTTGACATCCAATATTTCAAACCTAAGAACTAATAAAAAAGACTAATCTCCTCTTATTTTCTCTCCGATGTAAGAGTAAACAGAACTCTTTCAAAGAAAATAAAGCTTTTGATTTTTTTCGTGCTTGAACGGCTAACCCTAGCAAACTCCTCTGCTTTGGCCCTCAATTTTAAAGATCTAATATGCATAGATCATTAGGCCCCAAAATCGTAAAAACAAAAAAAAATTATATAGATCATCGGCCCCCAAAATCGTAAATGTTTTTGGTTTTTGGTCCCACAAAACTCAGGGCCGGCCCTATCCTCTTCAATAGTATTTATATTCGTCAGAAATCCTCTAGGTTAGGCTTGTTTGATCTGAAAGCCTCCGAATCTTCATTCTGAATCTATTATATCTTCAATATTTTCTACCTTAATTTGAATATATGTATACATATGTGCATTTTTCAGGTATGTTAAGGTTCATCCCAAAGGAGATCACATTGATGATCACTTGTCTATGTACCTCTGCGTTGCGGATCCTGAATCATTGCGATTTGGATGGAAAAGACTAGCTGCTTTCTCCATCGCTCTACTGAATCAATGGGGCAAAGAGCTCTACAGAAAACATGGCAATTTACTACTACTTAATTATATATATCTTGGATGCATATATGAGATTGTTGAGGAAAAAATAAAATTCTTTCTGATTTTGTCTTACAGAACCGTTTTACCAATTGTTCTGTGCTGAGATCCCACTAATGGGTTGGCCAAAGGCCGTGCCTCTTGAAAAGCTTCAAGAAAAAGGATTTTTGGAGAATAATAAATTCATCTTCAATGTCCAAGTTAAAGTAGCTCAAGTTGTTGATGAAGGATCTGTAACTGGGAATGAGATGTTAGATGTCAATGGTTTCCAAGTTCTTTATTCTCAGGTATGGTTACAACTATGATTCTTAATCTCGTAGGATTGTTTCTCTAGTTAACATTATTGCATCTTTCAGGTGGCTTCAGTTAGTTGGATTTTCGTGGAACACCCTGACGTTGCAGTGAATTTCAAACCAAAGAACCAATTACTGAAGACAACGTACATGAATATCCTCCTCGGTCTAATCGTGACACTGAACAAGCCTCTACATAGCATCACCGAGACTGAGCTAAACAACGCTCAGAGTGACTTGATCGAGCTTACAGAAGCGGGCTTCAAGCTAGACTGGTTGAAGATAAAGCTTGATGAGGTTTCCTTGGAGATGAAGATAGCAAATGCTGATGGCTATCGAGTCCAAAGCCTGGCAGAACATATCAAGAATCTCAAAATTGAAGTTAACCAGGAGCAAATCAACTCTTCTGCTAAAATTTTATCACTGGAGCAGACATTGTCGAATCTCAAAGATGAGCTTAACAAGAAGAATGCCAAATCACTCTAAACTTCAAGTAAGGTTTTTTTTTTCTAAGGTGAAACTAATTAATTTGAAATTACTTTACCCTATCCGGTGACACCGAGTTTAGTCAGTTTTCTTTTTGGATTTGGAAACGACTTAACTAATTTCCTAATGATTACACATAAAGAGATATAACTTGAACTTGAAGCATACACTTTAACAATTACAAAACAAACACTTTGGTTGCCATGACCGCAAGGAATGAGAATGTAATGGCAGTATGGCACAAGTGATCACTTTGACCAGATCCTGATGATATAGCGGTGGAGACTCTCAGTAGATTTTCCCCGAACATATCTTATGACGTTCCAAAATACATTCAAAATTTTGGTTTTCAATATCCCAAAGTCAAAAACTAATCGATTTTGCATCAACGGGGTTGTGTATTAGGGGTGCTATACAAGACCAAATACGGATAGAGAGATATAGTTTGTTTTGATGTTAGGTTTGATAAGATGAGTTTGATAAATCCACCTTTTAACAACAAAAGTTAGGAGGTTGGTACAAACTTGATCACTACAAAAGGGAAGTTAGCCTTTATTAATACAATCTCTTTTGATGCTTCATATAGGTTTACATAATGGATACTAGAGTGAATGTCGAAAACCATGAATGCTTAAAGAAAACATGTAGGTTTCCGGTTTCTTGGTCGGATCCTTTTGAGATAGATTCATATTGGTATCTCTCTGTTTCTAACCCCAAGCTAAAAAAAGAGAGAGTAATAAATAGATTCGCACCATATCTTCCATGGATTCGATAAAATATTGGTCATCTACTACAAGGATGTGTACTTGAAAATCTACAATTCGATTATCTGCCAATTTGGCAACATTAAGTAGAGCCACTTGTTGCAAAAACGTTTTTGACCATAGATGCAAACTGTTGGCCTCAAATCAAATGTTCCCGTTGAAGATGAGAATAAGGTAATTAGACATTGTGAACCGGCTCCAATATAATCGGATGATTTGTAAACAACTTGATTCAAATTTAACAAATTCCCAAACACGGAGACTTCTAGGGTTTTAATTCTAACGAGAGATTCATTTCTGAAGCAACAATTGATTGTGAGAAGATGATGAGGAGATCATCGGTTACGATTACGGGGAAGAGATTTCTGCATCGGCATTCTCTGGGGAAAGGTGCTGCTCCTGCTCTTTGCTATGATTACAGAGAGAAATTGAGTAGAAATGGGAAATTACAGGATATAAAGTTAGACGAAGCTGTTGATTTGTTTGGTTCAATAAATTGTTGAGTGCTATTGCAAAGATATAATGGTCAAGTCTCGTCCTTTCCCTTCCATTATTGAGTTCAATAAATTGTTGAGTGCCATTGCTAAGATGAACAAGTTTGATCTTGTCATCTCTCTCGGTGAGCAGATGCAAAACTTGGGAATTGCACATGATCTCTATACTTACAATATTTTGATTAACTCTTTCTGCCGCCGCTCTCAACTCTCTCTTGCTTTATCTCTTCTTGGCAAGATGATTAAACTCGGTTATGAGCCCGATATTGTCACTCTTAACTCCCTGCTCAATGGTTTCTGTCACGGGAATAAGATTTCAGATGCTGTAGCTCTGGTTCACCAGATGGTGGAAATGGGATATCAACCTGATACAGTTACCTTCAACACTTTAATCCATGGACTTTTTCTTCACAACAAAGCTTCAGAAGCAGTGGCTTTAGTTGACCGAATGGTTGCGAAAGGGTGCCAACCAGATCTGGTTACTTATGGGACGGTAGTAAATGGGTTATGTAAGAAAGGTGACACTGATTTGGCTTTAAGTTTGCTCAAGAAGATGGAGAAAGGGAACATAGAGGCGGATGTTGTGATCTACAACACAGTCATTGATGGTCTTTGCAAATACAAACATGTGAATGATGCACTTGACCTATTCAATGAAATGGAGAACAAAGGCACTAGACCAGATGTTTATTCCTATAACTCCCTCATTAGCTGCCTTTGTAATTACGGAAGATGGAGCGATGCCTCTCGATTACTTAGTGATATGATTGAGAGGGAAATCAACCCCGACGTCGTTACTTTCAATGCATTGATTGATGCATTTGCCAAGGAGGGAAAGCTTATAGAGGCTGATAAATTGTACGAGGAGATGATCAAAAGGTCTATAGATCCTGATCCTTTCACTTACAATTCATTGATCAACGGGTTTTGTATGCACGATCTCCTAGACGAGGCCAAGCAGATGTTTGAGTTCATGGTTAGCAAGGATTGTCTCCCAGATGTAGTGACGTATAGTACTCTTATAAAGGGATTTTGCAAGTGTAAAAGGGTAGAGGATGGTATGGAACTCTTCTACGAGATGTCCCAAAGAGGATTGGTTGGAGACACAGTCACTTACACCACTCTTATCCAAGGGTTTTTTCAAGCTGGAGATTGTGATAATGCCCAAGAAGTTTTCAAAAAGATGGTTTCAGTTGGTAAATCTCCCAGTATTATGACATACAATATCTTACTAGATGGACTTTGTAATAACGGGAAGCTAGAGACAGCATTGGTCATATTCCATGATCTGCAAAAGAGTAAAATGGAACTTGATATCATCACATATAATATTATGATTGAAGGGATGTGTAAGGCTGGGAAGATAGAAGATGGGTGGATTCTATTTTGTAGCCTCAGCCTTAAAGGAGTGAAGCCTGATTTTATAACCTACACTTCAATGATCTCAGGATTTTGTAGGAAAGGTTTAAGGGGGGAAGCAGATGCCTTGTTCAATAAAATGAAAGAAGATGGGCCTCTTCCAGATAGTGGTATATATAATACGCTAATTAGGGCACACCTTAGAGATGGGGACAAACCTGCATCAGCAGAACTCATCAAAGAAATGAGGAATCGCGGGTTTGTTGGAGATGCTTCAACCTTTGGCTTGGTCACTAATATGTTGTATGATGGGAGATTAGACAAAAGCTTTCTCGGTATGCTTTCTTAGAACAGTTTATCTCCAAGAGAAGGAATGTAGAGCAACCATCTTTCCTTCGAAGCATCTGTGAGGTGAATTATGTACTTACGTTACTTTCTAATGATTACTTCTCAATGCAGTCCTTAAATTACATTTGGTTGCTGTCGTGTGTGTGTAAGCTTCATGAGGATGACTGACACTGTGCTTGGTGTATTTCATTGTTATGTTAACACAAGATCAATGGTTGGTAATAGATAGTATGGTTTACACATAAGAATTTTGATTTAGAGAAAACCAGCTTGTACCGGATAGATGATAATTGCATATAATCTCTCTTTCTAGAGCTTCGTTTACATTTAACATAAATAGTAAATCAAATTTCCATATCTCTTCTCTCTCAAGCTGATCGTCATCTTCTTTGATTGAGTGTGAATCTTGTTTCTGTTCAACTTCAGATATTCTAACTGTTAGTATCAGAGAAGATCTCAGACTTGTCGTTTTTATGGTTTTTACTGTAGATTTGGTTATTAACCAAATATGTATATGATAAAGTTCTTAATTTGAATTATTTTCTGGCTCAAATAATTAACTTGGTTTTTTCTGGCTCATATATTGACAAAACACTAACCAAAGTAAGGAAATTGACGGATTAGACGAAGATAAAGAAATATGGTTGAAAGAGATTTGGTTAGTGTTTTGTCAAGAGAGATAAAGTTCTTAATTTTACTTAGTGTTTCCAATTGAGTCTCTTGTCAATATCTCTTGTCAATATATCTTGCTGATCTCTTTCCTTACTTTTCTCCTGCAAGAGATCCAGTTTCAAGCAAAAAATTCTTGACATGATCGTGAGGCTCCTGATCTGTTTCACGCAATCTTTTGCTTGCCAATATGTGAGATTGTGAGTATTGACAATGAGTTTACTGAGGGATTAAAATAGGATAAACAATATGAAATCCAACTAAGACTAATTAGATCGGTAAGAGCCGTAAGGCAAAGACATCTTGAATATCTTAATTTCTTAAGGATGTGTACTTATAGCTTTTAATTAGTGAATGACAATGTTAATTTTTTCTTGTTCTTTTTTTGACAGCGATGAAAATGTTAATTACTTAATCAGCAAAAAGCACAAAGGTTAAATATGTCGAGTCTCATTATGGCTCCAAATGGTAACATAATAAAAACATTCAGCCGGATTCAGCCAGATTCAGCAATTCCGCAGTCACCATTTGCATAAAACTAAATTCAGCTAGATTCAGCAGTTTTTGCAACACCAACAGATACGTAGATATGTTCATTTCTTGTAAAAATTCGGATATTACGAGTACATAACTTGAATTAAAATATTTTGGATATCAAAAATTACACATCAGAAAAGAGACGAATTCATGTTCGGATAACTATAGATAATTTTTGATAATTTTAATATTTTTGGATAATTTAAAATAAATTTTAAAATTTCTCAAAACAACGTAACTCCTAATAAAATATTACTTAAAATATCAAAATTTTAATAATTTTCTTAATCATCCTCATCATATTATTGATTAAACTACTAGAAAACAATAGAAAACACAATTAGATAATTTATATTTTATTATCATGTTAATTTTTGAAATTAAGTTTTCAATAAGGCTTTACAAAGCTTTTCATTAATTATTTACATATTTTTCATAGTTCAAAAATTTAATATGAAAGAATAACTCAATTTTGCTAACCAATATTTTATTTATATTAGTATTAATTTTAGATAATTTAGTATTTGTTTATTAGTATAATTGTTAATTAGACCATTGGATCATTTTATATATCTATTTTATTTAGATATTTTCTTAATTATTCTATTAATATTCATCATTATTTGACGATACGTTTCAGTTAAAGTCTTAATTATTTTGATAGATACCACCAAAAATCATAAAAAAATTCAGCTAGATTCAGCGGTTACCATTTGAAAATGTAAAAATTCAGCCAGATTCAGCCGAAAATCACTAAAAATTCAGCCAGATTCAGCAACTCAGCTGGATTCAGCCAGATTCCTCAGTTACCATTTAGACCTATGTGAAAACAAAAGAAACAACGACCCCCACTTTTAAACACAATTAATGCCGTATTTTAAGTTGAAGTGCCGCTTTCCTCAAATCTCAATATTGTTTCTCTATCATTCATAGCCAACAAAGAATAAGATTTAGAGCATTTAGTACTTATTCTATGTCAATGATATACACACATTTTTAATCAAACTTTGTGACTAATCGATTACTTTTATGGTGTTATTTTATAACTTTACTGCATTTCTTTTCTTCAAATATTCCATTTTAAACGTGTTATAATTTAGTGTATTTACTTGCATTACTTTTGTTTATACATTTTTAGAATTTTATACATGTTTTGTCGTATTTTGATAGAGTATAGCAGAATGATACATTAACATAAAATAAGTATTTGCATAGTGAAGTGAAGTCTAGTAAACGAGTCTTGACGTTGAGATTTAATTATTGTCAATTACCAAAACACGAAATTTTGTTTTAGTAACCTTTTTCTGAATTATTGTGTTCTTGTGGAGGATATATAATAATAGGTCGACAGAATTTATTCTGATCACGCGTGGGGATTATATTTTCCCAAAACAAAAGTAGGAATTATATGATTCATGTATCATATTATTGCTATTTTTATTTGATACTGTATTATTTATTAATAAAGTTTTTTGGCTCACCAACTTAAGTGGCACTAATGGCATTGGCCCCTTAAGCTGTAAGTTACCATTAATTTATGTTGCCAGATTATAGCTGTCATTAATGTTGCCATATTATGGTTATAACAATATCAACTTGTCCCATCAACATCTCATTCAAAACATTTTGACATTATATAATTCATCAATTGATTTTAGGTTAGGACTCTATAAACTTTTACTTAAACAATTTTCGCCTGAATAAAATCTTGTGTTTAATTAGGAAGATGATTACGGAGAAACTCATAAGAGAAGAAAAAATAAAAATTGGTAGATGTAATGTAGGTGAATTAATGTATACAATATTAGGTTATAATAAACACAATGACAAACACAACACTCTACACAAACAAATTATACACATGACATGCAAATGCAACTATACGTCCCAAATTTTTTGGTTGGGTAAAATTATCAACAACAAACTTAGTTGCCTTATTAATTGCTTATACTTTTCTTTTTCACATTTTATTTTAATCTATAAAAAATTGATACGATTATCTTCCATTCCACACACACACACTTCTTCTCTCTTCTTATAGATTCTCTGCTCTCACTTCCACATCAGAATTTCAAAAAATATGGATGGATCAACGGCTGTGATCATCCTTACCCTCATCGTAACCTACCTTATATGGTTCGTTTCTTTACGTCGTTCATATAAAGGTCCACGTGTCTGGCCCTTACTGGGCAGTCTTCCGGCACTCATCACAAATGCTCACCGTATGCACGACTTCATCGCCGACAACCTCCGCATGTGCGGCGGTACGTACCAAACTTGCATATTCCCGATCCCGTTCTTGGCTAAGAAACAAGGTCACGTGACTGTCACGTGTGACCCGAAGAATCTGGAGCATATATTGAAGACCCGGTTCGATAATTACCCGAAGGGTCCTAGCTGGCAATCAGTCTTCCATGATCTGTTAGGAGATGGGATCTTTAATTCAGATGGTGACACGTGGCGGTTTCAGCGTAAGACCGCTGCATTGGAATTCACTACACGTACGCTTCGCCAAGCCATGGCTCGTTGGGTTGATCGAGCCATCAAGAACCGTCTTGTGCCAATTCTTGAATCCGCTATGAGTCGAGCTGAGCCGATCGATCTTCAAGATGTTCTTTTACGGCTCACTTTCGATAACATTTGCGGCTTAACCTTCGGCAAAGATCCACGAACACTCTCACCAGACTTTCCCGAGAATGGATTTGCGGTGGCTTTTGATGGAGCCACCGAAGCCACACTTCAACGGTTTATTATGCCGGAGTTTATTTGGAAGATCAGAAAATGGCTACGGCTCGGCTTGGAGAATGATATGAGCCGAAGCATCAGCCACGTGGATAATTACTTATCAGAGATCATTAATACACGTAAGCTCGAATTAGTGAGTCAACAACAAGATGGATCCCGCCATGATGATCTATTGTCACGGTTCATGAAGAAAAAAGAGACCTACTCGGATAAATATCTTAAATACGTGGCGTTAAACTTTATCCTAGCTGGACGTGACACGTCATCGGTAGCTATGAGTTGGTTCTTCTGGTTGGTCAGTCTTAACCCTCGAGTCGAAGAAAAAATCATAAACGAGATCTGCACCGTTCTGATCAAGACACGTGGCACCAATGTGACGAAGTGGACCGATGAGCCGTTGACTTTCGATGAAATTGACCAGTTGGTATACTTGAAAGCGGCATTGTCCGAAACATTGAGGCTATATCCATCGGTACCGGAAGATTCAAAATATGTTGTTGCCAACGATGTTTTGCCGGACGGAACATTTGTTCCATCCGGATCAAACGTTACATATTCGATATATTCGGTTGGGCGAATGAAATTCATTTGGGGTGAAGATTGTCTCGAGTTTAAACCGGAAAGATGGTTAGAGGAAAACCGGGACGAGATATGTAACCAATACAAATTCGTAGCATTCAATGCCGGTCCACGGATTTGTCTAGGCAAAGACTTAGCTTACTTGCAGATGAAATCAATTACCGCTTCGATTTTGCTCCGGCATCGGCTGACGGTGGCTCCGGGACATCGAGTGGAGCAGAAGATGTCGTTGACGTTGTTCATGAAGTTTGGTCTTAAAATGGATGTGCATAGAAGGGATTTGTCGTTGCCGGTGGAGAAAGTGGTGAATGAGATGAGGAATTACGAGAGTTGTGGCAAAAGTGAGATTATTGGGACTAATGATGGTAATTATGGTGAAGTTAAATTGGTCGTCGGTTTGGCATAAGCAATGTGGACGATGGTAATTTAGTAATTGTGTTGTTGTTTATTAGTTTATACTTTATACTCTATATTGCGAATAAAATGGTCTTATAACCTTTTTTTTCTTTAAAATAATTTTCACCTAGACATTGCCAATTCAATTAAATTAATTCAAATTACACTAAAAATATCAAAACTAAATCCGGATAGAACTTTATAATCTTACTCCCAACACTTAAAAAACAAATGATTTGGGGAAATACAAAATAAATCAAGCAAGGGTCACGGTTAGGTACGTACTTAAGTAGGAAAATTAAACATTTGTTAATTGCAGAGTCACTATGAAGCTTTGGGTTATAATATATGTTTACTTATAATTGTATGGTTTCTACATACTCAAGAGTTGCATGAGTTCACACTTGCTTTGAAAACAAATATACTACTGCGAGGAAAACATTAACATAATACATGTGTTCATACTAATATATAAACCACAATAAATGAGTATCGGCCTTGTCATTATCATTACTATTATTTATCATTGTCAATGTCATTATACTTGTTAATTCTTATAGTATAGTATTAGTTATGTCCCTTGGTTCGAGGTCAAACTGAAAGAAAAGGCAAAGGTCAACGGTGCGAAGCAATGAACCACCGAATTCAAAGGTTCTAATTTAACATGCTCGTCCAAACACGTGAAGATGACATTGACATGCAATGATATACATTCAAACATTACTGAAAACAGACATAAACTAGATGTCCCAATTCTTATACATTGATCGTTTTACGAATAGATTATGTAAATTAAATGGCTAAAGCATCCAATTTTAATGTCGTCCATGCGTCACAATTCTTATTCAAAATCCTTAAAAATAAGATAATTCTATAATCTAGTTATTATTTTGTTTCCTTAACATCAAAATTTTACCGGCCTATGATTTATCATTGATTAAAAATCTATGTGTAATTATTCCATTACGTTTTTTTGGTTAAAATTTTCCTTTACGCAATTATGTCTACGAATACGAACTGTAAGCATTTAAAATATAATATTAAATGGATTCGACATAAAAACACAAAGTATAATCTGTCTTTTAAAATTATAGAATATATGTAACAGTTAAATACTTTATTTAGGTCTGGACCAAATATTTTTGAAACTATATTTATTCGAGCAGAATCATATCTCAAAAAAAATACTTTGATATTGTGTTCACCTAATATAATCTTCATAAATCCCTTGGTGCATAAACTAATATTTGTATAATACGTGTTTATACACGTACCTTATTTTTTTAGTATAAATAAATCATGAAGATGATTTATTTTATACATTATGGTCTTTGTGCTTTATACTGATAAAATCATAACAACGCGTCTCACAAAAGCCTAACGTGACATCATTATCTCCAATCGGACCGTTAAGATCGATTAGCTGACGTGTTAGAACACATCATTGTCCTCTTGTCACATACTTTTTTTTTTAATAATTTTCACAAGGCACCCAATGATTTGGAAGTATTTTCATATTCTAATCTTCCCATATAAATTGGGCAGAATATCATTATAAAAGTACCAAGTCAGCAACTAATTACTTTAGCATAAATCAAGAAAACAATTCTCAAATTTGAATATTATTAAGCTTTTCTTTTGGTTTTTGATTAATCAGGAAAAATAGAAACAGAATACTAATATTCATTAACTTGTGCTTGTCCCATAAATCAAGATTTTTTTCTCCTCAAGTTTCTCTTCTTGATCAATTATGCAATTAAAAAGAAAACAAAAATCAAGAAGAAGATAGAAGAGTTTTTTGCTTAGGTACCTCTATCTCATCTAGAGGGTTTCAACCCTAGTGAGATAAGGCTTAGTTACCGGGAATATTACCATTTTTCGCCGGGTTTGGAGAAGTTTTTCCTGTTTTTTCATCGTAATCTTGAATCAACTTTCCTTTTCTATAAGTTTTAACCTAGTTTGTGCTTGCCTCCGCCGCCGCTACCTTTGTTTGAGCATAATTCCGGCGCTTTTGAAGTAACGAAGGTGACGATTTCTGTGTTACGTGACGGTGACGTATGGAGTTTGCTTTAGACAAAGCTTTACAAGAGATGTCGCTTGAAGATGATAAACCAATTGTTTTGAAGAATCTACCTAAATACAGTTCCTGTGTGCGGAATGAATGTAGCATCATTGGGAAGTTGCTCTGTCCAGAGAATCAGAAGATGGCTAATATGATACATGAGATGCCTCGTCTTTGGAGAGTTAATAACAGAGCTAGAGGAATTGCCTTGCCAAACGACAAGTTTCAATTTATCTTTGATTCAGAATCGGATCTCCTCACGATTCTAGAAGCTGGAGCTTGGACTTTTAATGATTGGAGCATGACTTTGGAGAGATGGATAGAGAATCCACCAGAAGATTTTTTGAAGATAATACCGATCTGGATACGACTTAGAAACATTCCGGTGAACTACAACACTGAAGAAACGATCAGGGATTTCGCTGAGCATGTTGGACAAGTAACAGATGTAGCCTTCGATCCATCAAAGCCGCGAAGCAGAGGCTATGTCCGTGTGCGTGTTCTTTTTGATATTAACAGACCTTTGAAGAATAGCAGAGACTTGCAGTTACCAACAGGAGAGATAGTTAGTATTGGGATTGAATATGAGAGGATTCGTAAGAGATGCTACCAATGTCTACGGCTCACTCATGACAAAGAACGGTGCCCTTTTAACCCTATAAACCGGCAAGCAATTGCTACGGGAGGTGTTAAAACTGCGGCGATCATTCCACAAAGGCTAATCCCTAAAATAAGCAAAGATGATCCTCTCTTTGGAGTCTTAACGGATGATGATGTTGGCATTGATTTGGTTTCTGGGAAACCAAAAATTGCTAAGGATGTATTGGATGAGATGAGACAGTATCTTTCGGTGGTGGATCCTCAGGAGAAGAAGATCAGAATTGAGAGGGTTCGGAGATCAGTCTGGAATCTCGAGAATGACGTGCAAGGGCAGAAAACTCTGTTGCGATTGGAAGCTCCTACACGATTTACAACGGACATTGATAAAGGCAAAGGGCTGGTCTTTGATTTTGAGCATTCCAGTAGGTCCTCAACTGAAAACCAGAGTGCATCGAGACTGGCTGCTGCAGGTGAAGAACATGACAACTCGAGCCTTAATCGTTATGCTACGGCTTCAGAACAGTCGTGTGGTTCTACGGTGTTCAGGGCTGGCTTTATAGCTGGTCCATCCGGGACCCAGACTAAAAATTCTAAGAGCCGGAGGCGTCCAAGCCAATGGAAACGAAAAGCTCAGGCGCTGGCCAAAGCTAAGGAAAAAACAAATAAGCAGGACTTGGAGAAAAATGAGGCTGTCATGGTTTATAAGAGGAAGGCTACTGATGAAGCCTTAACATCATCAAAACTCGCTAAGCGCGATGAAGAAAAGGTGGTTCCGCATGAGGAACCGCCGAAACAAATATGAGTTTTATGAGCTGGAATTGTCAAGGCTTGGGGGGCAACTTGACAATTCCTACTTTGAAGGAAATGCGGCGTGAGCATTATCCGGATTTTCTGTTCCTCCTGGAGACTAAAAACTCCAGCATTCACGTGAAGAAAGTGCAGCAATGGATGGGCTATGATCAGTCTCATATAGTCGATCCCATTGGATTAAGTGGTGGTTTAGCATTATTTTGGAAGACAGCGTATGACGTGGAAGTTCTTAGCTCGGATCATAGGATCATTGATGTAAAAGTTAAACTTGGTTCTCAACAATTTTTTATCTCTTGTGTTTATGGTGATCCAGCACCAAATTTAAGACAAGTTGTTTGGGATAGACTGATTGATATTGGAGTTTCTCGAGATGATCCTTGGTTGGTTTTGGGAGATTTGAATGAAATTCTAAATAACAATGAGAAACTTGGTGGACCAGCACGGGCGGAATCAACTTTCTTTCCTTTCCGGAATATGATAAATGATTGCCGTCTACGGGAGGTCCCTTGTATTGGAAATAAATTTTCTTGGGCTGGCGAGCGTAATGATATGTGGATTCAATGCTGTTTAGATCGTGCGTTAGGGAATGAAGCTTGGTTTCATTTGTTTCCACGAGTTCAAGCGGAGCTTCTTGAAAGAATAGGGTCTGATCATCGACCTTTATTTCTACGCTTTGTTAATGAAAACATATCCAAGTCTGGTCGGTTTATGTTTGACAAGAGGTGGACCTCTAAACCGGAATTGTTGAGCATTATAAGAGATGGGTGGAGTAAGGAAAACACTACAGGGCCGACGAGTATTCTACATCGTATAGCTGAGTGCCGGAAGCTCATTTCCCTTTGGAAACGGCAGTCCAATCAGAATTCCAAGGAGAGAATTAAAAAGTTGAGGAATCAACTAGATAATGAAGGTATGAAGCGACAGCCTCATCATGGTTTCATGCGTGAACTGCGATGGGAATTAGCGGAAGCTTACAGAGAAGAGGAACTCTATTGGAAACTGCGAAGCAAGGAAAAATGGCTGAGTGACGGCGACAAGAATACTAAATTTTTTCATGGTAGTGTTCAAAAGAGGAGGGTACAAAACCGTGTTCTCTCATTATTTGATGAGAATGAGATTGAACAATTTGCGGAAGGATCGAAAGGTGAGATTGCGGTTGATTATTTTCGCAAGATGTTCTCTAGCTCTAATCCTTCTCAGATTTCGGAAGCTTTAGATGGATTGTTGCCTCGAGTGACTGACACCATGAACACGGAGCTTACCAAACCGGTAACAAAGGAGGAAATTAAGAAGGCGGTGTTTAGTATTCGTGGAGACAGTACGCCGGGGGCGGATGGTATGTCAGGCCATTTCTATCAAACTTATTGGGACATTGTTGGACCAAAAGTCGTTGAGGAGGTTCAACAATTTTTTCAATCTGGTATCCTTCCATCAGAATGGAATTTTACGCAGATTTGTTTGATCCCAAAAAAGGTTAATCCATCAAGAATGACTGACTTACGACCTATTAGTCTATGCTCGGTAATTTACAAGATTATTTCGAAAGTACTATGTGCGCGTCTCAAGGTTTTTTTACCTAGTTTAATTTCGGCAACTCAAGGAGCCTTTGTTTCTGGACGACTTATCTCGGATAATATTCTCCTCGCCCACGAAATGGTCCATGCTTTAAGAACAAATCCACATTGTGACGAGGACTTCATAGCCATCAAAACTGATATGTCAAAGGCTTATGATAGAGTGGAGTGGAATTTTTTGGAAGAGTTACTTCTCCGGCTAGGCTTCAATGTTAAATGGGTTCAATGGATAATGAGTTGCGTTAGATCGGTCTCCTACTCAGTCCTTCTTAATGGAGCGTCGTATGGTTTTATTAAGCCGGAAAGAGGTATACGACAAGGCGACCCGCTCTCACCTTTCCTCTTCATTTTATGTGCTGAAGCCTTGGTGCATATAATGAATAAATCCGAAGCAGAGGGACGTTTGACAGGAATGCGGCTAACTCCGGCTTGTCCATCGATCCAGCATTTACTCTTCGCGGACGACAGCCTCTTTCTATGTCAAGCCACGTTACGTGAGTGTTCTGAATTTAAACGTTGCCTCCTTTTATATGAACAAGCTTCAGGGCAAATGATTAATTTCCAAAAGTCGGCCATAACGTTTGGTAAGAAGTTAGACCCATATATGAAGAGGTTGCTTGGTGAGTTTACGGGAATAGATCAAGAAGGCGGTACCGGAAAGTATTTAGGCCTCCCCGAATGTTTTAGTGGCTCAAAGAGTGCTTTGCTTGGTTATATAAGTGATAGGCTGAAATCAAGATTAAGTGGTTGGTATGAGAAAACATTATCCTTAGGAGGCAAGGAGGTTTTAATTAAATCGGTGGCCTTGGCACTACCGGTTTATGCAATGTCGTGTTTTCGATTAACCAAATACCAATGCCAACAAATCACGAGTGCTATGTCTAGCTTTTGGTGGAATGCAAGTGAGGATAAGCATAAGATGCATTGGGTCTCATGGGAAAAAATATGCAAGTCTAAAGTCAAGGGAGGCTTGGGTTTTAGAGATATAGGACAGTTTAACCAAGCATTACTAGCTAAACAAGCGTGGCGGTTTCTTGATGACCCGCAGTCCTTGATTTCAAGAGTCTATAAGGCCAAGTATTTTGCTAATAAAGACTTCCTAGAGGCGAAGATAGGTTATAGACCTTCATACGCGTGGAGAAGTATCTTATTTGGCAGAGAACTTCTTGAGAGAGGTCTTATGAAGACGATTGGTAATGGAGAACAGACTCACATTTGGTTGGATAAATGGATACTTGATACCTACCCCCGGAGACCGATAAACAAAGACCTTCTAATGGATATAAATCTTAAAGTTTCGTCTTTAATCACAGCACAAGGGGAGTGGAATATTCAGAGGTTAACGGAACTTTTTCCGGCAGGCGATGTCACACATATTCGTTCTTTCCCGCCGGAGGTGAGTGTCCCGGACCGATGTATCTGGGCTTATACAAGAGATGGGAAATATTCAGTCAAAAGTGGTAACTGGGTTTTAACAAGAGAGGCTGAGTCTATGGAAGTCATTTCTGTAGATAATCAAGCCACGAATAAGATCAAGGAAAAAATATGGAAGGTTTCTACAGCTCCAAAGATTAGATTATTTATGTGGAGAGCATTGTCAGGTGCTTTAGCAATTGCGGACTGTCTGCGACGTCATGGGGTTAATGTTCCTCCGATATGTCAACTCTGTAATGGTGCATCGGAAACAGTATCACATGTGTTGTTTGAGTGTACTATTGCGCAGCAGGTCTGGCTAAGCACGGGGCTACCTCTCTGGCCTGTTGCTGCGATGCACTCTGTTTCGGAACGGTTTGCTCATCTACTGAAATTGATGGAAAGGCAAGACTTGGATACAAGTGTACGTGAGGCCATTCCATGGCTCTTATGGGAAATTTGGAAAGCGCGAAACTCTACATTGTATGCAGCGAAGACCAACTCTCCTCAGTTTATTGTTGCAACGGCGTTGGAAGAGGCTAGAGAATGGCTACAACAAAACTTGGTGGCTCAACAGGATCGAAGCCGCAGCCTGAATCATTTTTCCACGGGAGAGAGAAGATGGTCTAAACCAGCTCCGGGTAAGCTTAAATGCAATATTCACTCTTCTTGGATTAGGGATTCCTTTCACATTGGAGGAGCTTGGTTATTACGTAATCATCTGGGAGAGGCTGTTTTTCATGCTCGAGATGCTTTCCTCCCCATGGTCAACCGATTAGCTGCAGAGTTACATATTATCCTATGGTGTGTCCGAAGCTTACGAGAGTTGCGTATAAGCTCTTGTGAAGTTTGGTCAGATTGCAAATCAGCTTTGGAAGCTTTAGCCAAACCGGAGGAGTATCCTAAATACCGCTCTCAGATTATCAAGATACAACAAGTGATACGGGTGATGCGGGAGGTAACTTTTCACCTCTCTTCACCGAAAGCCAATTGTTTGGCCAAGGAGATTGCTTGTAGTGTTACAAGGGACGGACGGTTTACTTCTTACCTAGCTAGAGGAGGTCCGGCATGGCTACATAACAGATTGGAGGAAGAACGCCGAGGTAGTATCTAATTTGATCATTGGTCTCTGGTTTGTAGCTCTCTGTTTTTCGATTTCGTTTCATCTTACTCTGTTTCTGGTTTTTGTAAGACTCTGTTACGTTTCTCTTTAATTTTCAAAGACGACAAAAAAAAAAAAAAGAAAACAAAAAATGATACTTTTGTTTATGTTCGAATCAATCCAAGTATGGTATTTTTCCACTCAAACACCCAGTGAATTGGAAGTATTTCATATTCTTCCCATATTTGAGAATATTACTATAAAGTACCAAATTCAACAAAATTAGCATAGAATAGATCAAGCAAATAATTCTCAAAATGTTACTAAGCTTTTTTCGTTTTAGATCAATCCAGAGACAACTAAGAAACAAAAAAAAATTAAAGATATTCATTAGCTTAATTAGTCCAATGCTCAAGACTCAAATTTCAAAAGTTTTTTCAATTATGGTAAACAAAATATATAAAAAAACAAATCAGAACAAAATCGGAGCTCTGTCTTTTCATTATTATATTTTTCAAGTTGTGTCTTTTTCAAGAAATAAAATAAAATTAATAAAAAGAATTAATTAAGGATGATGTTTTAATTATAGGTTATAATCCTAAGTAATTAGTTACTAGTAGTAGAAAGAAGATTAACGCACCAAGAAGAAATCTGAACAAGTGAATGCTTTCTTCAAACGCTCTCTCTCTCTTTCTCTCTCTCCAGTTCTTATTCTCTCTTTCTATCTCTACCAAATTTCTCAGAACCTCTTCGTCTTCTTCGTTATCTCTTCCTCTGTGTCACTAACTCACTTCACTGTTAGTGGAAGAAGCTCTTAACAAGTCTTTATACTTTACCATATTCACACTTGTAAGCAACGGTTTTAGGGATCTGAAACGCTTTACTGTTTCTGTTTTGGATTCTTCGATTGCTTCTGAGCTTTCGATTTGATTCCATTTCAAGCTGCTGAATCTGGTAATTTTTCCATGAAATTAGGTTTTGATTACTATCAATTTCTCCATGAAATTGCAAAACTTGCTTCGGGTGGTGTTTTGTTGTCTGTGTTAATCCTCCCAATTTTTGTTTGTGTAGATTTGAGCAATTGGTTCTTTCTACTGAGGGTTTTCGTTTTTTTGTTGTTTCTGGGGTTTTCTTAGGTTTCTGGAATTTGTGTGTGTAGATCTGTTTGTGAGGTGGGAATTTTAAGTTTACTCTTTGGAAATGGATCTTCTATAGCTTAAGTTGAAGATGAATCACATTGATTCTTGAGATGATGCTCTTTGGTATCATCACTCAAGATGCTCTCGTGGGTGTTCCATCATTTTAGAATTTGCTGGAAAAAAATTGGGCTTTTGTTCTTGTTAGAATTATGGGGTTTGGTGAATTCTGTATCTGTTTGTATCTTCAATTTTACACGTAATCATAGTTGTTCTAATTTGTAAACCCTAACACTGGGTTTTGTTGTTGTAGACAGATCTTTCAGCTGCTTCTGTGTATTGGTCAAACACCAATGGGATAATTAAAAAAAATGGTGTTTGTATTGAGACTTTTCTTCGTCTGTTGACCTATGTTGGGTCAACCAAGGATGATCTCTCAAGTGGTCAAAAGGAAAGTTACTTTGTAGAGTTGAGCAAGATCTTTGAAAGAGTGATAGTGTGAGTGTGCCTCTTGGGTTGTGGGAAGAAGATCATGCCTTGGTGGAGTAAATCCAAAGATGAAAAAAAGAAAACTAATAAGGAGAGTATCATTGATGCGTTTAATCGGAAATTGGGATTTGCATCTGAGGATAGGTCTAGCGGTCGATCTAGAAAATCAAGAAGACGACGTGATGAAATTGTGTCTGAAAGAGGAGCTATATCTCGATTACCATCAAGATCTCCCTCTCCTTCTACTCGGGTTTCACGCTGTCAGAGTTTTGCAGAAAGATCTCCTGCTGTACCTCTTCCTCGTCCTATTGTCCGTCCTCCTGTAACCAGTACTGATTCCGGAATGAATGGATCACAGAGACCAGGTTTAGATGCTAATTTGAAGCCATCATGGTTGCCACTTCCAAAGCCCCATGGTGTTACAAGCATACCTGATAATACCCGTGCTGAGGCTGATTTTGCCACTGCTTCTGTGTCTAGTGGAAGTTCTGTGGGTGACAATCCATCTGATTCTCTTCTCAGTCCATTGGCTTCTGATTGTGAAAATGGGAACCGAACAGCAGTTAACATTTCTTCAAGGTGAGTTTGAATTGTGATTGTTATTGTTGTGTATTGTGCTCTCTCTCTTTACTCTCTATTTCTAAACATGTTATATCCTACTCTTATGTATAGGGATCAGCCAATGCATAGTAACAAAAACTCAGCTGAGATGTTCAAGCCAGTCCCAAATGTATCTAACAAAAATAGAATTCTGTCGGCATCTCCTAGGCGGAGACCTCTGGGAACTCATGTGAAGAATCTACAAATCCCGCAACGAGATTTAGTGCTATGCAGTGCTCCAGATAGTTTATTGTCTAGTCCTTCCAGGAGTCCAATGAGATCCTTTATTCCAGATCAAGTCTCAAACCATGGGTTGTTGATTAGTAAACCATATTCAGATGTTTCCTTGCTTGGATCTGGACAATGCTCAAGCCCAGGTTCAGGTTACAACTCAGGTAACAATTCCATTGGTGGAGATATGGCTACTCAGCTGTTTTGGCCTCAGAGCAGGTGTAGCCCTGAATGTTCCCCTGTGCCTAGTCCAAGAATGACAAGCCCTGGTCCTAGCTCTAGAATACAGAGTGGTGCTGTTACACCTCTTCATCCTCGAGCTGGAGGGTCAACTACTGGGTCTCCTACTAGAAGACTTGATGATAACAGACAGCAAAGCCACCGTCTGCCTCTCCCGCCATTATTAATCTCTAATACTTGTCCGTTTTCCCCCACATATTCAGCAGCAACATCTCCGTCTGTCCCCCGAAGTCCAGCAAGGGCAGAGGCTACGGTAAGCCCTGGTTCGCGATGGAAAAAAGGGAGATTGCTGGGGATGGGAAGTTTTGGACATGTGTATCTTGGCTTTAACAGGTTCGTAAGCAAACAAGTTGATTTTAGCTTAAAAGATGCTCTCGTTGTTATCGCATTTTATCTTGGCTATGAGAATATTACTGCTAAAATCTATTTTATACTGGTAGATACTATTGTTCCATATGTTGGTTAAGCTTCTTGGTGCAAATCTCAGGTTTCATGGTTACAATAAACTGATTTGTCCTCTTCACAAAAAAATTGAATAGGGGAACTCATATGTTATGTTTATATGTCACCCCTGGTTTGATCGGTTATGTTCTCTTCCTCAGTGAAAGTGGGGAGATGTGTGCCATGAAAGAGGTTACTCTATGCTCAGATGATCCTAAGTCAAGGGAGAGTGCACAACAATTGGGGCAAGTGAGTTACACATCATCATCTGTTCAGAACAACGGATGCTGCTCTTTGCTGCTTTTGTCTTTGAATTTTCTAACCTTTCAGCTTCTTTTTCAATGATTGACTCTCACAGGAAATTTCAGTTCTAAGCCGTTTACGACACCAAAATATAGTGCAGTATTATGGCTCTGAAACCGTAAGTTTTACAGATATTTCATGGACATTTCTATTCTCTGATACTATCAACTGTTTCAGCTGAACTAAGTCATGCACATGACTAGATTCTTACTTTCCCGTCCCAATACAGGTCGATGACAAGCTGTATATATATCTGGAGTATGTCTCTGGTGGTTCGATCTATAAACTTCTTCAAGAGTATGGACAATTTGGTGAGAATGCCATCCGTAACTACACGCAACAAATTTTATCAGGGCTCGCATATTTGCACGCCAAAAATACTGTTCATAGGTGAGGCAGTTAATTCTATCCATTCTCCTGATTCCTCGTTTTCCTTCATCCTTCATTAGTTGGAGAATTAAATGAATATGGATTTTTTTTATTCAGGGACATCAAAGGAGCAAATATATTGGTGGATCCCCATGGACGAGTAAAAGTGGCTGATTTTGGGATGGCAAAACATGTATGGATATGTTCTCTGCAATCTTTGTTGTGTTTTAGTCCTGTTTGAAATTTTCGTTCAAGCAGAAACGGCTCATCTGAATAAATTATGCTAAGCCTAGCTAGAAATTTTCATAAATCTAATACAAATTCATGAACAAAATGCAGATTACTGCTCAATCTGGTCCTCTATCATTCAAAGGGAGCCCATATTGGATGGCACCTGAGGTCAGTATGCTGCTACAAACTGTCAGTTTCATGTTGAGAGGCTTAATGCTAATGCTTTATATCTTACTTGGATTTCAGGTGATAAAGAATTCAAATGGCAGTAACCTTGCGGTTGACATATGGAGTCTTGGATGTACCGTTTTAGAAATGGCTACAACAAAACCTCCATGGAGCCAGTATGAGGGGGTTAGTAAATCATATAAGTACTCTAATAAACATGAGAAATAATGCTGTGACTCTTCCATCCTTATGTATTTGAGTTCTTTATAGGTTCCTGCTATGTTCAAGATTGGAAACAGCAAGGAGCTTCCAGATATTCCTGATCATTTATCTGAAGAGGGGAAGGATTTTGTAAGAAAATGCCTACAAAGAAACCCCTCAAATCGTCCTACAGCTGCTCAGCTTTTGGATCACGCTTTTGTAAGAAATGTGATGCCGATGGAAAGGCCTATTGTGTGTGGCGAGCCTGCAGAAGCCATGAATGTAGCTTCGAGCACCATGAGATCACTGGTATGAAAGCTCATATGCCCCAATTCTAAATTCGATATGCTTCTGATTGCCTGACAAATCTGTTTGTTTCAGGACATTGGACATGCAAGGAGTCTTCCGTGCTTAGACTCGGAAGATGCAACCAATTACCAGCAGAAAGGATTAAAACCTGGCTCGGGATTCAGGTACACATTAGCCATTCCGTTTCTACCTTCATTCTCCAAGCATCAAAACTTCTTTGTGGCTAAAATTTCCTCCTTTTTTGGTCACAGTATATCCCAATCTCCTAGGAACATGTCATGCCCGATTTCACCAGTCGGTAGTCCAATCTTTCACTCGCATTCACCACATATTAGCGGAAGAAGATCTCCATCCCCAATATCTAGTCCCCATGCTCTCTCTGGTTCATCAACACCTTTAACCGGGTGTGGTGGAGCCATTCCGTTCCATCACCAAAGACAAACTACAGTTAACTTCTTGCATGAAGGCATAGGATCAAGCAGAAGCCCGGGAAGCGGCGGAAATTTCTACACCAACAATTTCTTTCAGGAGCCTAGTAGGCAGCAAGATCGGTCGCGGAGTAGTCCAAGGACGCCTCCTCATGTATTTTGGGACAACAACGGATCGATCCAGCCAGGCTATAATTGGAACAAGGACAACCAGCCAGTCCTATCTGATCATGTGTCCCAACAGCTCTTAAGTGAGCATCTGAAACTGAAGTCCCTCGACCTGAGACCCGGTTTTTCAACTCCCGGTTCGACAAACAGAGGACCCTAACCCGTTCGAGTCAAATGATTCGACACCAATGACAGAACCATAAAACCCAGTGGAAAAAAACATCAAAACAAATAGCTGCAGAAACTCCTCCAGGATCTCGGAATTGCAACACAGCCTGAAGGGTTCAGGATCTCGAGGTTTAGGATCGGGGTTAGGGTTACTGAGCCGCGTCTCAAAACCCTGAACCATTGGCTAATATCAAGAAATGAGGATACGTTTTTTTTTCGTCTTTGGAAAATCTGAAGAGCTCTTTATCTCGTCTCTCTCTGTTTCTCTTGAGGATATACGGGAGTGAGATAGAGAGATCAACAAAAATTGATTTTGTGTATAGGAACTTGTGGTGGTAGAACAGATCATCACCTAATTTGTCTATTTACCTCTTTCTTCTGTCCCTTTATTTGGTCTGATTCGTTGCTGATGAAGGAGAAAAAAAAGAGGGCAAAGCTTAAATCTTTTGAAACCTAAACTCTTTGATGTAATCTATCTTTATTGTAAGAGAATCTCAAAATAGATTATAAACCCACTCTCTTATTTGATTGATGCTCGTTTCTAGTCATCAACTGCAATAAAAATTGTCTTGTAAAAGGTCTTTGGTCCCAAAGTTCAAACTTGGAAGCAATATGACAATATCTTTCTAGGGGTTTGATGTTCTGCTATGGACTTGGTCTTGTATATTGTGTTGTCGTGTCTTACAAAATTGCGAGTAATGAACACACCTACCATTCAAATTCTGCTGTAATTAAATCTACATAATATACACTATGAAAGTCTTCCAATTTTTTTATCCCGTCGAGTCCAAATTGATCGCCTATAATTTACCACTAGGACCGGACCCGGACGTACGTCCGGGGTTATGATAACATAGTAAATTCTGAAGAAACAATTTATGTCATTATGTTGTGTGTGTTTGTTAGGGAAACAAAATTTACATGACAATGTAAATGTGACTATAATTGAAAGATGACATCAATTAATAATATGGTATGGTAAACAAATGTATATATATTTAAAAGAAGTATGTGTGTAGGGTATGTAGTAAAAAATAATTGTGTCTTGGAGGGATTGCGTTTGGTAAAAAAAATGTATTATAAGCAATAGATAATAATAGATAATTAAAAATTAGTGTGATAATCCATTTTAAACATGTAATATGCTATATATAATTTAAGTATTTCGAATTTAGTACATTTTTTATTAGACATGTAAAAATGATAGAGGTCCAAAAACCTATAATTTTATTACATGTGGGTAAGAATCTAGTATCAAATATTAATATTTATTTTTGATACTCGTCCTATTACCTGATCCGTTTTCCGCTTACTACCCAATTTTATTATAGGTCCAAAAACCTATAATTTTATTACATGTGGGTAAGAATCTAGTATCAAATATTAATATTACATGTGGGTAAGAATCTAGTATCAAATATTAATCTAGTATCAACCGCTTAAAATTGATCGCCTATATTTTATAAATATATCTTCTAATAAAATTTAAAGCTTAAGTTTTTAATTTAATAATTTTTAGAAATATATGTTGGATATGTTTATGAATTTGTTTTTCTTAATCTAAAATTATTATGCGGTTACGGATTTTATTTTTACACATGCATTATCAATAATAGTCGGATATGGGTATCTAGTAGGTCAACTACTTTTATAGGGAAGATTTAGGCATACACATAATAATACATGTTATCCATATTCGACTGTTATCTGACTCGTACCAGTCACGAAAAAGGATACCCCTAACCTTAAAGTTGGCTAAAGGGTGTAATACTGTTATCTGTGGGTAAGGGTCGAGTATCGTGTTTTTTTTGTCACGTTATCCAATTCGTTTCCCGCTTTAATACCCACCTCGTAAATCTCCACTTTATTAGTATTTTATAATTTTATTGGGTGGGGTATCTACAACTACTTTTATCGGGTAGATATAGACATACACACAGTGATACATGTTATCCGTCTTCGATATGTTACATGACTCGTACCCGTCTTGTTAAAAAGATAACGGTAACTTTAGAGTCGGCTAAAGAGTGTAATTCTGCTACCCGTAGGTAAAGGTCGAGTATCAGATATATATATATATATATATATATATATATATTTTTTTAATATCTGTCATGTTACCCGATCCGTAAATCACCGTTTTATTAGGGTTTTATAATTTTTCTTGTATTTTATAAATAAATCTTATAGTAAAAGTTAAAGCCTAAGTTTGTAATTTTATAATTCCTGAAAATATGTTGTATATGTTTATGAGATCTGTTTTTTTTTTGTAAAAAAATACTTCTGTTTGGAATATGAAATTATTATGTTGTTACAAAATTTATTTTTACACATACATTATCAATAAATAGTCTGATACATGTAGAGGGTCGAGTTTCTAAAACTACTTTTATTGGGTAGATATAGGCATAGACATTTTGATACATGTTACCCGTATTCGATCTGTTATCCGACTCATACCCGTCTCGAAAAAGGGTAAACGTGACCTTTGAGTCGGGTAAAGGCTGTAATTCTGTTATCTGTGAGTAAAAGTCGAGTATCAGATTTTTTTCTTCTTTAATACCCGTCACATTACCCGATCCATTTTCCGCTTTACTACATGACTCATAAATCCCCTTTTTATTAGTGTTTTACAATTTTTCTTGTATTTTATAAATATATTTTATAGTAAAAGTGAAAGCCTAAGTTTGTAATTTTATATTTTTGGAAATATATGTTGTATATGTTTATGGAAGTTTTTCTTTTTTGCAATAAATTCTCCTGTTTTGAAATATAAAATTATTATGCGGTTACAGATTTTATTTTTACACATGTACTATCAATAAATAGTCGGATACAGATAGTTGGGTATCTAGCATGTCACCTACTTTGATTGGGAATATAGGCATACACATAGTGATAAATGTTACCCGACTCATACCCGTCTCGAAAAAGGGTACCCCAAACCTTAGAGTCGGGTAAAAGGTATAGTTCTGTTATCTGTGGATAAGAGTCGAATATTGTGTATTTTTTTCTTCTTAATACATGTCATGTCACTCGATTTGTTTCTCGATTTAATACACGACCCGTAAATCTCTGCTTTATTAATGTTTTATAATTTTTCTTGCATTTTATAAATATATCTGTTAGTAAAAGTTAAGGCAGAAGTACTCGAACAAATACTTTGCTAGGTCTTACACAGTCATAAAATGTTGAAATAATAATTAGATTCTTTTTAACATGATTTATTATACAAATAATTAGAGCATGAATTTTAAATGTCTTAGATGAAAATATAAATAGATTTTAATAATCTTCTACTAATTAACCATAAGATGAAACAATATTTTTAATTTGCCAACAATCAAAATTTAAAAAATTATAAATTTTTTATGATAAAACCAAACAATGTAACTTTGTAATTTTCAAAACGTATGAAAAATTCATAATAATTTCATCTAAGATATATTTATAAAAATTTACCGTTGCATACCCCGTTTGATAATAATTTTGACTATCTCAGAAATCTCGGTTACATTAACATTGGAGTAAATGCGGAGTCAAAATTATATTAAAATTTTTAATACCTTAGTTGAAAATCTCGTTCACAATTTTTAATTAGTTTAGAAGATTACTTTAAGGAATATGCTCTTCTTGTTTAAGATTTTAGTAATTCACGATTTCACGTAGGTTTTGGATATACATTGATTTAGAATTTTAATAGAAAATCAATTTAAAGTTATTAAAATTTACGTATTGGTCCATTTAAAGTAAATGTGTAAACAGTTAGTTATTGATATATCCTTATTATTTTTTTAGTAAAAGTTAATGGAGATTTCGTTAACTATTTTTCGTAACAATTATTGTAATTATTAGTTTATTGTAGATTTGAAAACCACATTAATTACGTTTTATCAAAAGCAAATTAAAATTCGCATGACCCGTTTAGTTATTGTAGATATGGCAAGTGCTATTATAGGAAGATATCTTTTATTTTTGTTTCCTTACGAAGCATATTTTAATGAATATTTAATAAATATATTTTCAGGGCTAATGTTTCTTAAAATATATTAATCAAACAAAGATTATGCGAATATGATCTCTCAAAAACCAAACCTAAAATCAAAGCCTTCTTTCCCGTAAGAGTGATTTAAAAAAAAAAAAACTTACTAAACATTCAAATAAAGCATTCTTACAAGTTATTTCCAACCAATCCCAATAAAAGAAAAAAAAAACGCAATCAAAGGCATTGCCTATATTCTTAGGCGGCCAGCTTGTCTTTCACTGATCTCAAGCAGGCAATGGAAACTCTTGCTAATAACTCTACACTTGGCATCATGCGAGTTTGCTGCTATATTTGGGACTTCAAGTGCCCCAAATGAGAGGAGTTTCTGTATGCCTTGGAGCCATGAATCATAGTTTTGACTTTATTCCTTGTGTATGATAATCTCATTTGTTGTATCAAAATATAACTTCCATTAAAAATACAAACCTGAAGGGCTTTTGTAGCTTTTGCGATTTAGTTTACATGTTACTCAAAATTTCCTTGGCTTCGATCCTACATTGACATAGATATAAGTAATTAGATATAGGTAATACTTTCATGTAAATCAGAGAACATAAACATTTGAAAATAATCAAAACCATTTATCCTCACAATGATTTGTTTTTTAATTAACACAAAAAAAAATCAAATAAACAAAAAGACTATATACACGGACTTAATTTTTATTATGTTAATGAAGTACCTTTCCATCTGTTAATAATAATTCAAATGTTTCACGTTGAATGTTTTTTTTCTTCTAGATTCTCAAAACTTTTACATGGGCTCATTAGATGATTCCCTCTGAATGAAGATCTGAACAAATCATTAAATTGACACATGTTAGGAGAAACAAAAAAAGGTATTTTAATGGAAATAAATAAATAGATTAGAAAAATCGGACCAATCTCCTTTGGTCACGAAGCTCCCAATATTCTTCACATTTTCTTGATTCAGTCCAAGCTAAATTTTAGATACCTACAATCAAACAAAGTTAATAGGCATTATCAATCAAATAATTTATTAACAATTCAAATTCAAACCGCTTTGTGGTCTTATTATTTTGTTCTAAAATCTTGATGGATCCAACACTCACAACCTGACCAAGTACATCTATTGATAAAAGAGATAATGAGATTCAGAGTGTTTTAATATATTTGAAAGTAAAAAATCTAAGCTTAAAAATCTTAC